GGACATCGCTTCGAGGGGTGTCCCCGCGGACGAGCTCATTCCGAACACAGCCTGGTGGCTCGGGCCATCTTGGTTATCCGATTCTGAAGATCTTCGACCGATAACGCAGCCCCGGGCCAGTCGTGACAAACCGGATTCAATTAGTACTGAAATCCGCCTAGTAGTCACACCCGTGGTCGTAAATTCGTCGTTGATAGATCTCGAACGCTTCGGACATTGGGAGAAAGCAGTCCGTGTCGTCGCGAATGTGCTCCGTTTCATTCAACTCTGCCGATCTCGTCCCATGAGCTCAGCTGGCGAGTTACGCTCGCGAGCGGAGTCGCTCATCATCAAGTGGAGCCAGGCTTCGCATTTTTCGCAAGAGATCAATGCCACCCTCGCGGGGGAACGTCCCACTCGATCGTCTAAGTTGCACACCTATCGCCTACATCTCGACAGCGAGGGGCTACTACGCGCCAGTTCGCGAATCTCGCAAGGCCCGCAATTCACTGAGGACGAGAGGAATCCAATAATCATCCCCAGTAATAGCCGACTCGCTATTTTGCTAATTCTACATCATCATCGCACGAATGCTCACCTGGGCGTCAGCACCGTTCTGAACTCACTCAGAAAACGCTTTTGGATTCTCCGAGGTCGGCAGCTCATCAAAAAGATCCTTCGAGCATGCGTCATTTGCAGACGTTTGCATGGACCCGCAGCCGACCAAGTCCAGGCGCCGCTCCCGATCGAGAGAACTACGCTGACCGCTCCTTTTGCTGCCACCGCCATTGACTTCTGCGGTCCCTTCCAGTTCCGCTCGCGGGAGGGTATCCAAAAGAGTTACATTGCTTTATTAACTTGCATGAGCATCCGTGCAATTCATTTAGAGCTCGTCCCCGATTTGTCAGCCGTGCAAACGCACCTAGCTCTGCGCCGTTTCCTCGCCGAGCACCCGAGTTGTCGTCTCCTGGTCTCGGACAACGGCCGCTCTTTCGTTCGCGCCGCCGCGGACATTCGACGCTTGTTTAATTCGTCTCGCGACCCCGCCGTGCGGGAATTACTCGCTCAACACCGGATCACCTGGACTTTCAATTGCCCTCGCGCACCTTGGAGAGGTGGAGTGTTCGAACGGCTTGTTGGCGTTACAAAGGCTGCCCTTATGAAGACGCTCGGCCGAAGTCTGATTAGCTTTGAAGAACTTCGAACAATTACTCGGGAGATGGCAGCCATCATCAATAATCGTCCCATCTCCTACTGTTATGAGGATGTGGACGAACCTCGGGCCATCACCCCGTCTCACTTCTTGCGTGGAGGTCCTTCGAGCCCTCCGCTCTGCTCCGTCGCCACGCTGGACGGACTCGGGCCGAACGGTCAAGTACAGCTCACGCCGCCGGACGGCGAGCAGCTACGCAAAAATCTACGACTCAGGACTAATTATTTCAAGTCGCTGTCTACGCGCTGGCAACGCGATTACCTCTTACTGCTTCGGTCCGTCAATCTCGACGACAGAGGCAAACCTCGACCGATTCCAGATGGCTCCATTTGTTTACTCTGTGAAGGGGCTACATCGCGTTTCAAAGGAAACCTCGTCCGTATTACGGGATCGCGCCCAGGGAGGGATGGTGCTGTCAGAACGTACGCTGTTCGGTTCGCCAATGGATTCGAAACTACACGCGCAGCCCAACTCCTCGTACCTCTTGAGATTCCGGAGCAAAATGACAACTCAACCGCGGAGGTCATTCCGGAGGCGTGCTGAAACAGAATCCTTTCAGGGAGGCAGTGTCAATAATTTCCTATCCCCCAAACAATTATTGTGTAAAACTCTCCTATTCATATCTCCCGCCTTTGTGTACTTGTGAACGATCTCACTCTCTCTTGGAGAGACACCACATGCACATTTTCAATAAAGCATTCGAGTGAAAGTCGCGCTCAATGCAGGTCGAATCACGAACGATCGAGTTCTCAATCTTGCGCGTCAAACTTGTGCTCCGAGTTTAAAAGTCCCTCAGTGCTCGAATTCGGCAAGCATCATCTATTTCGACAGATGGCATTACGGATTAGATGTAGGATCGAAGAGACGAACGAACTGTTATTGCAACAGGAAGGAAATGAGCTCGAGTCGACTGATTATGACCCGAGCGCACCTTGATCAGGTGGCTTATGAGCGGATCCTCTCGATATGATCACGCTCGAGTCTATTAGCTGGAGAAGCCAAATAGAAACGATAAAAACCGTATCTTCCCCCCTGCGAGCCCTTGTCGGAGCCGAGGGTCGAATTGTAAATATCGAACGCAGATCAGACGTAGCCGACGGAGGCGTCGACGACGCACCGCGAGAGTCGCTGGCTCGAGCTCACAGGAGCTGAAGCTACTGCGATGCGATCACACACAACAGGTGTTAGGAACAGTGTCTGGCTTCGTCAGATGGAGTGAGACCATGATCTCGCAGGCATAACACACCGAGGAATTTTTCTCTCCGGCAGGTTCTGAACGACTACCTTCGCATGGACGAGAACCTGAGTGGAGGGCGATTCCACCAGCACCTACGGGAGATCTTCGCCCCGCAGGTGGTGCGCTACGTGGATCTCATGGAAGCTTCGATAGCACAATCCCTGCAGAAAGGCTTCGAAAAGGAGAAATGGGAGGTCAAAGGCGAGTAGCAATTTATCTCGTTAGCCTTTCAGCGCATTTTTTTTCTCGCGTTCGAACCCGCTTCCATCTGAAATCGAGCGGTTCGGAAACGCACTTAGAGTTCATGCGAATGAAACGGCGATCTTCCAATAGGTCGAGCTGGTTGTGCTACCTCGGAAGAATTGTTCTGGAAACTGGGCGCGTTACAAAGTTTCATCCGCGATCTTCACTGGCCAGATGCAGAATTTGCGAAACATTTGGAGCAAAGACTAAAACTGATGGCTTTCGACATGCTCGAGGCTACAGTCAGTGGCACAGTTCAAGCTTTCCAGGTGAGTGCACTTCAGAGATTCCTACGTCCTTCGGTCGCTCTCTGTTTTAGTGGGTACTCTGCTTTTTTTATCTAGAGCGGGATAGGCGGCTCCATTCGAACGGCTCACCGCCCAATTCATGTAGGGAGCCAGAGAACTCTCCACGGGGCTGACAGACTGGGAATCTCCTCTGGACGGAAGGGAATACTCTTGCCCGATGCAAAAGACGTGCCATGGGGAACAATGGCTTTTGATGGCCCGGGTTTTGATGACCTCTGGATCATCGCCTGGCACGTAATGTGCACGCGGCGTCCTTCACTGATTATATTCTCGAGAGAGCGACGACGAGGGTGGTGGAGACTTCATTTTCGGATGAAACCCTCCCGATGCACTCGCCGGAGGTTATTGGTGTCGTCGTTTCGACGTTAGAAGCGCCTCCGGTGAAGAGTGAACGCCGACTCGGATACCAGGGCTACTCTGACGTGTCGCGACGCAAGAAAACACGCGGTAGTCGGAAAAATGATAGTTGACATTTTTCATTCCGAGTCTCGCGGTGCTTGCAACGTGGTCGTCGACTGCGAGGGCGAAGGCGGCGAAAGTCGGAACCTAGGCGAATTCCCGGGTTCCACGCGGGTGAAAACTCAAGCGCTTGGCTTCTTTGCAGATGTGGCAGAGAAAAGGAACAAACCCGGCTGGCAAACTGCTGGGAACTGCGGTCGCGGGGGCAGGAGGTACCTCCACAGAATGGTTGGTTCCCTCCGAGATGTGCGCTATGATCAATGTGGTGCTGGAAACTCGCACCCAGTCGCTGAAGCTGTGCACGGTCGACGGCGCCGATATTCATCAGTACCACGCCAAGATCGATCAGCTGTGCGACGGCGCTATGCAGGACATGCAAGGAGGGCTTCTAGCCAAGCTGGAGTCGATCATGGAATCCACGCTATCCAAACTTTCACGCTACGATGAAGGAAGTCTCCTCGCCCCCATTCTATCTCTTACGGTGAGTCGATTGTCGCGGTGGGCCTCGTGTTCTCGGGACGAACAAGCCTTTGCCGTGCTGTGACGCAATGATACATGGGTACGCCTTTCTCAGCATCAGAAGAAATTACTGTGGTCTCGCAAAACGGCTCAATCCTGGTTCAAATACGATCGACTCGGAGCTCGAGCACTGAGGTCGAGATTCTGATTTGATTTCCAACGATCCTAGCCAACTTCATTCAATCTTTGCAGTATCGACAGGGCATGTCAAGTTCAGGCAAAGAAGTAGGACAGAGCTACGTGAACTTTGTGCGAAACAGTATGGAGCAGCTGCGGCAGAAAGTATCCGACGAACTATGGGTTCTGAATTTATTCGAACTCTGGTACTCGTCACAAATGAGTATGCTGTGCGCATGGCTCTCTGAGCGGATGGACCACGGTCTCCACTCGTTCCAACTGTCCGCGCTACTACAAATAGCCCGCAAGCTGTATTCAGATTTCGAGCTACAAGGAATCGAAGAGGAGAAGCTCAACTCAAAGACGTACCAAACGATATGCTCACGCTTACAATTAGAAGAGGCTGCCGCGTCCGTTCAGGACGTCGCCAGGGAAAAGGACGATGCCGAGTAAGTGAAAGTTCTGTATGAGCCCTGCGAACCATTCTTCCGCTTGCGTTATAATCGGTTCGAGAAGAGTTTCCGAACCTTCATTGTTGAATCGTTCCGCTGTGGTAGTGGACGAAACAGTAGATCGGGACCTTGAACTAAAATACGTATCTCGACGGCAAAGCGGTCGCGGGGCTTTCCTTGAGACAGCTCATACCGAAAGAATCGTTGCCTCTGAGGTGTTCGATAATAGTAAGATGGGAGCCTCCAGTAGAAATACTAGGAACTTCTTAGGGCCGAGAGCTCTCCCCCGGCACCTGGGTGAGGGAGGGGGTAGGTAACGGAGCCACGGGGAAAAAGGATTCTTCTTTCCTCGGAAGAATGCCTCTTCCACGAATTTATCATCGTGCTGAGTTAACCTTATTTCTACAGTTCTGGAGGAATACTTCGCCGATTCAGATCGGTGCCGTCTGTAAGTGGCGTGATTCGACTCTGGGGTTTTCCTTGGTGAAGGCTATGGATACAAGATGTCATGAGTTTGGTGTGTTCCGCTAGGGAGTGTGCATCTGCTGTTTGGGTACGAGGGTGTGGGCTCCTCGGCTGTGTGCGCTAGCGAGGTCGCGGTACATGTGCTGTACGGCGAACTTCGTATGGGGTGCCTTCGACTTTGCCGAGTACATATTTCCCCGGGGTTTCTCGATGAAAATAATGGTGCCAGAAACGCAATCGACTCCATCTCCTCCTTTACATTCGATCATTTTTCTCGCTACGATCCAACGACTAAAAAATCCTCGTCCATTTCTCCAATCCGCAGGGACTTCACCAGGGAGAACGCTGGCAGGCCAACGACAGCAACAACGGCAGGCAGCGGCCTTCTCGGTGGTCAGGATTCCCCGCTTAACAAAGTTCAGAACGTCACCCACAACCTGACTGGAAGAGTTTCGGCACTTACCCGTGGTGTGGGTGGTCTAGCGAACAAGTTTTCTGGACTGGGGGGATTTTTCTGATGGCATTTGGTCCCATTCTCAGACGCGCGGGTCGCTAGGCGCTGCGTCATCCATTTCATTCGTTGTCGCGTTCAACATTCTACCAACATACATACTGAGACCCAACAAATGGGCACACACACAGACTTCATTTCGAGAAATTCGTGGAGAGGGAAGACGTTGTATCACTCATTCTCACGGACATTTGTATGCATACATAAACAGTTCGTCATGTGGATGGATCAGCCTTAAGAAAAGAAGAAGAAAATGGACACGATTCGGAATCTAGCAACTCAAACATGCGCAGAATCAGAAGCAGCTGCGACGAGAAGATCAGCGGTGACTTACCTATCCGCCTACAATGAACGCAAGCTTCTCAGAAAAAATAGAGAATCATGCAGACGAGAAGGCGCCGATCACGTAAAGGACGTTGCTCTCCCGTGAGACGCGCTCAACCATCGATCAGCTCAATCTTGCAGAGCTGTTCGCAAGGTTTCAAAACTTCTCTCTCAAATCGTTTGTGTAAGCCGATCTACACCGCTGCAGCAGCAGCACAACAGTCCAACACCCCGCTGCGAGCCTATTCTGCGATTCAACTCCAGATTGATATTTATGGGAAACGTCACGTCAACACGGAAAATCCTCGGAGCAAAGCCCAGCGGTCTCGGCTCAAAGATCTCCGCTGTAGCCTTGCGACGATCCCGGTTGATTGACTTGAAACATGAGCACTAACACTCTGGAGTTGGTGTCTCAGCCTGGCTCCCAGTAGATCACTTGGAAATCGTCTGCGTGGAGCGGATCTACTAAACAGTTTCGCCCTAGTTTTTCTCATCAACATCGATGAGGTAAGCCTTGGGGAACTTCTCGCTGTCGGTCCGAACTCCTGGAGTTGGCGAGACTAGATAGGTTCTCGTTCAATTCGACGATAGAATCGGAGAGGAGAATGTTGATCAGTTGACCGCGACACATCATTCCAGGCGATTCAGCGGCTTACTTCAAGTCTATAGAGACTCGAATCAAAATTGAACACCTCCCAATCACTGCATGACAACTACCTGACAACATGAACTACAACGACATCGAGAACATCTACAACAGCCAGCTTCATCAAGCAGTTTAGTGGAACAAATGTTTTTTCTTCTTCACAAACGAGGAGATACACAGGTAGCCATCAACAGACATCGAGCTAAGGAAAAGAAGTCAAACACCTAGCCGGAACTTGCATTGCCAAAAGCGACAAGGAGGATGTACATGAACAAGAGCAGAAAATCGTATCCGCAATAGCGTACGCAAAAAGAACAGCAAGAGGACAGCAGCTGGAACGCGTCACCTGGAAAATTTAAAAGCAAGCACAAGAACTCGGGAGCTTGCCAAACGAACTCAAGCGAAACGAGTATTAGCAAACAATACGAATGCTGTGCAACGAATCACGTGGTGCATAACGCTTATACCTAGTTCATACATAAGCGAACCAAGATGAGAGAGGAACGCTTCGGGAAGGAAATTTCTCTCTGTCAGAGATGAGAACACCGAGGAGAAGCACGAAGGAACTTACACAGACGCAGTTGCCAAGCTGCGAGTGCCTGCTAGTATAACTACGACTGCAAGTAATAATATGTATTAGTTATGATGACGGTGGAAAGGTTGCCGGGGATAATGATCACGTCGATTATCTCTATAATATAATCATGATTATGATGATTACTTCCTTTGATGGCATGATGTTTACGACCATGATGAGTCCTTACGAGAGTGAACTTTATACGCCTAAGTACAACAAAACTCCTGTCGTGTTGTCGAGAGAACGCGCGAATGCTCAGCGATTAGTGGAATGAATTGATTGATTGTTGGTCCGACCCAGTGAATGGTGATCGATCCATTGATTGATTGCGGAATCGATCGGTCGAGAAATCATCGCTCGGGTAAAACATTTGCAGTCGACACGGCCAGAAAATTTCGTACTTTTTTCTATTGAGTACCGGCGCTGGAAGTTTTTTTCAGTCAATCTCATTGGTGAAGTACGGCAAACAATCCATCTGTCAGGAACAATTTCCATAGAGGCGAGCGCGTAAGTTTAGGGTGATCGAGTTCGAAGGGCCTCCCACCCGTGGAGGGGAGTCCCTTCAACATTGAGGTTTCAGACTACTTCTATAGATACTTGCCATGGCTGAAATTCTTCAGTAGAGGCGCGCAATGGTCGCTGCCACTGCGCCATCACCGCCACCGCCATTAGAAGGCGGTCTTGTTGTTCTTCATCTGCGATGAGGATTAAGGGCTACGACACAACTTTTCGCCGTCGTAGCCCATACCCACTGTTTGGCTGCTCAGTCAGTTAGCGTATGAATATTGTCATTATTATCATTACACTATTACAATTATATGGAGGAGAATTCCCGGCATGAGAGAAAAATCCCGAGGGAATCTACCCGACTTCCGCACGATATGGGGGAGACCTCAACCAGAAGCCTTGAATCTGTGGGATCGAATGCATTGAATGAGTGCGCTTCATTCTGTCATTGCTGAATTCGCTATCGTCGATCGGAATGGAGTCCATGCAGTTTCCGACGACCGCACGCGAAACTCCGGCCAGGAAACACTCTACGTCCGAGTTTGTTGATCCGACCTCGATGCCGGGTCAGGACGGTTTTCCTCCGGATGTGTTGGCATTCCCCGGAGCATACAGAGCCGAGGGGACCCATGTTGCTTTTGAGAATCCACATCCCTTCCTGAATCGAAGACACTTTCATAGAGCTTCGACAAGACTTGCAGGCACAGCATGAGTATTCTTTCGCTCTTCGAGCTACGGGAATCTCGGTTTTTGTGAGCGTGGCTGTGTCGCATGCTTTTTGACTCACCACCAAATGAGCTTATGGGGAGGGAACCATTCGAAAGGGTTGAATCGTCTCATGATCAACTGTTTCTTCCATGGATCCTCCCGTATCATTTGAGATTGCGCAGAACACTATAAAATATTATTACCGTACCGCTGCTACCCTTGGGCCCAACCAACCTTAAGTGGCGAGTGGAGCTTGTGATCGTTGAATTGTCTCAGTACTCACACAGTAATGTTTCGTAAAGTTTCCCTAGTCGAATCGAAGTCTTGTATACATTGACATACTACTATTTTACTTGTCGATCTGTGCTAATGCAAACATTTCAGATTAATTACAGATCCGACGTAGACGAGATGATCGTTATTAATTACCGCTACGGCCATTCAGCCGATACGAAATGAAGAGAGACCTTATTGATACTACATATACGATCATGATGATGAAGCTACACGCACCATGGGAACCATGGTGAAAACTGAATAATAAATACATGATTAAAGAAAACGAAGACTCTTGCACATGACACCGAATCACCAGGGACTGACCACAGTAAGAGGTGCCCGATGGAGTTTGCCACGTCGCAGAGTTCCTGAACAGCTCTCTCCGAGTTCCAGGATAGCTTCCACAGAGTTCCGAAGAAGTTTCCTCCTGCCTCCCACTCTGATGCATTTCATCCATTCGTACAGATAGCGGACTCGGGGTTCCCGACGGCGATCGGCGATTGTTCCTCCATTGAACCCTGATGCTGATGATTGCAGAATCAACAGACGAGGAACGATATTCTCGTTTCCAGTACTCCTTATATAGAGTCATCCGCCGGTGGATCTCATCGATCCATTAAGTTATCGATCCACTGATGGAATGCTTGTCAGATGTTAACATCTTTGTTCCGTGAGGTCTAGAGTCTCAGGAGAAGAGACTTCATTCCATGTTGCCCTTCAGATCTATCGCGTACATCGCTTCGTAAACACAATGCAAGCCGAATATGTTGCGAGCCGAGTGAGCTGCTCCGGCTCTCGATGTTGAATTTTTCCCCCCTGCACCAATGACGGCTAGCCGAGCGATTGTTCTAGCCGAGCGATTGGCCCAGCTCGAGTGCTAGCAAGGTGCGAAACCATCAGAAAACCCGGATCTCTGACAAATCGATTCATGTTCGAATCGACAGGCTGGGGTATCGGACCTTCCTCCTCATTTACGAGCGCAAGAAACTCCTATCTCGGGATCCTTGGCTCAATCATCCGATAAAGAAACAAACAGGCGCGCGGAGAGCGCGAATATGGGGCTCATTCCCGATGCTGAAACCTCGAACGCAAGCGCAGGCCTTTCGGTACAGCCGGGGAACACAGAGCGATTGCGCCTTCGAGCCTGCTTGTCTATTATTCCCGAAGCTCTTCCATTAAACCGAATCACCTGGACGATGGAAGCACCGAATATTTTGCGATGAATCGCGTTGAATCACTAAGTGGCACGTCTACTCTGATCAATTCATCGGGCGTGAGTTGGCCTTGGTAAAGGCGATTGAGATGGATGCTATTGGTAATGAATTCTCAAGACCATAGGCAATTAATTCTTCAAGCTTCGAGGTCCGCTATCCTGGCGCGCGATCCGTAGGAGCCGACGGACATTTTCCGGGCGCTCGAGAGATGCTGCAATGTTTTTTGTCGGAGATGGTCCTTGCGTCGTAATTGGAATGGGAGGCCACGTCGGCATACGGAGCGATCGATTTTGCCGAATCTCGACCCTATTCAGGCTCAGATCATCGAAAGGATAATGGCATGACAACCGAGCGACGTCATGGAATATCTTGACCATGAGGACAGCTGACAGATTCGAGTTTTAGTCTATTGTACACTATTGTTCCCCGTGGCTCCTCCTACTTCCCAGTTTGGGAGGATCTCCTCCCAACTTTCTCTCTCTCCATCCCTTCTGTATCGCGATTGATCCTCCATCATTCTCCTACAGGCAGTGGCAATGTACCCGCTTCAATCAGCGGTACACTTCTCTGATTATCATCGACGGGTAAGGGACGAACCGCGAAAACGCGATCCGAGAAACTCAGGAAATAACCCCTCCGGTCTTCC